TCCTGGCAACACAAAAGCAATTCAGTTTCACCCACATCTGTGCTGGTGCGTCTGCCTTCGGAAAAGTAAGTTATGAACAAGAGCAGTGCCTGTATAATTGTTATTTATATATTTTGAATTGTATTCATTTTCTAATTGTCGAGTGAAGATGAGTTTCTATTCTACCATCTGTTCTAGAAAGTCGGACCCTCTAGCTTCAAATATTTTGAATTTGACAAAATATCCAACAATTTACAAAACTCGTACTTACTTGTACTCATGACCTCTGCCTCTTTCTCCTCTTGATTTGATCAGTGCATATTTCCCTTATTATTTTCCTCTGCAGAACCTGCTTCCCAGAGTGGCTGCCAAGTTGGATGTTGCTCCAGTTTCAGATATTATTGAGATTAAGTCTCCAGACACTTTTGTCAGAACCATTTATGCTGGTAAGCCCTTTTATCATCGTAAACAAAAAACCCAATGTTCTCCTAAACTAGTATTGACATGCTCCAGAAGAAGTGACACAATGTTACTCAAGTTTTCGTTGATTTCTCAGTACTTTTCAAATATTGCATGTTAATAATATTTTTATCATACAGGAAATGCTCTGAGCACTGTGAAATGTAATGAAGCGATCAAGGTCTTCACAGTCAGAGGGACATCCTTTGAGGCAGCTACAACAGAGGGAGGAAGTGCTGCATCAGAAGATGGTAAAGTGGCTTATAGATTCATCCAGAAAGCCCTGATAGAGTGCATGCCAAGATATCTTTACAAATATATTTTTGATACAATGTTCCTCCTCGCCATTTGTTGACTGCAGTTGCTTCTTCTTCTGCCACTGGAATTTCTGAGTGGTTGGAACAGAATCTGACAAAGAGCGACCGTCCAGAGCTGACCGGCGCTAAGGTTGTGGTGTCAGGAGGTGTGAAATCTTTTTGTCTTCTGAGTAACAAATTATGGTCAATTTAATGTCACCATTTGTTTGCAAAGCCACATTCTGTGTGGTTGTGTCAAAGGCATGCTCAACTACAGGTTGGATTCATTCTTGTATTGTTGGAAGTGTTAATCTAAATTTGCAATATCATCACATTTTGTTGATTAGAAGTTTTTTTTTTGTTTTCTTTTCCTAGGAAGGGGCTTGAAGAGTGGAGATAACTTCAAGCTGCTTTATGACCTTGCTGACAAACTGAATGCTGCAGGTAGAATGGGATTATCACTTTATTCTAATAATAACCCAGTCATTAGTTTTACTAAAGTAGTATTTAAATTGCATAATATCCTTTTTCTAGTTGGTGCATCCAGAGCTGCAGTGGATGCTGGGTATGTCCCGAATGACATGCAGGTTGGACAGACAGGCAAGATTGTAGCCCCGGTAAGTTATTCCGTTTCTGAAATTGTTATACGGATGTACTTCATCTTGTACAGCAAATCAAGACAATAATCAATGGAACATTTTTAAATGGCAAAATGTGAACAGTTACATTTAAAGAAAATGGTTTTAAGGCAGGGAGCGCAACTCAGTTCCAGTATCAGAGTGGACAACTCTGTTGCTTTTGACAAATGCCTGTTTGCCTTTACATAGAATGCCTGCCGTCCAGTGTGATCAGAGTGGCTGCTCTACCCTTTTAAAAAGGTTAACTTCCCATTATGTGATTCAGCCGGGTTACCCCAGCTGTGATTATCCACACATTAGGCCCTGCAAAATGTACTGGATGGCACATTTAGGGGCCTAAATGATTTAGCTGATCCATTAAAGCAGAGTGCAGTGGATGTCTGGTCAGAGCCTCAGGCCAGGGCAGACTGTCCAAATTGGATTTTCCAAATGTTATGACAAGCTTGTTGAATTTGTCTAAGTTAATTAAGTATAATTTAAACCTTTATTTTTTTCATCCTACCAATCTAAAAATGTTTAGTGTATTCAGTAAAATAAAGCATTCGTTCATTTTATTTACATGTAAAATAATCTCTGCTGATTAAAGTACAATTTATCATCATCATCATTCAAGTCAAGTGTCTTTGAACAGTGGTTTGTTTCTGAGTGTAAAGTTGTGGTCAGACACTGGATGAACCACACAAATGTACATTTTGTTTGTTTTAGTTAAAAAAATTAAGATTCAGTTGGAATGGCCAAATTATCTCATGGGAATAAGTTGCACTTCATAAACTGATCATACAAGAATAGAAACCTGCAGATTCTGTTGTTGTGTCATTGTTGTGTTAGTGGAAAGGGTTGCTTTATGCATTTTCTAATGTTATGAAGCACTGTTGTGTTGACAGATTGCTGCTCTGCTCCTCTGAGGCTTTAGGTGCAACATTAAATAAGCAGTGAAACATTCACTCATTAAGTGTGGCAGAGATGGTTTTCCCAGCGGGTTTTGGGACGGCTGACCCTTTGCACACTTGCCCCAGCACCCTCTGATAGATTACACACCCGTGGTCATTACACCATCAGTCAACACTGCTGTTCCGTACGTGTACCTTTTCCAGAGAGACTACATCTCATGTCTACAAGCGAGTAACACTTGTCTGGTTGTCTTATGTTCTTGTCCACAGGAATTGTACATTGCTGTTGGTATCTCCGGAGCTATTCAACACCTGGCTGGAATGAAAGATAGCAAGGTAAAGTCACTGGAGCCACATGCAATGTTCCACCATGCATCCATGCAATGACAGAATTTGTAAAAACAGTTTCCTTGCTTCAAAGAAATTGGTACCACGTCAAATAAAATGTGAAGTTGCATGCCAGTGTCTGCACGCACTCATCTTATGCACACAATGAGACACCCACAAACGTAACACTGGTTGTCACACCCTTTGCTATGTTGTTTAGATGTTGCCATAAACATCACATTTCTGTGACATTCTGCAATTGAGTCTAAATTCCATTTTTATTCATTGAAAGATCAGATTATTTCTGTGCTTTTGGCTAAGCAGAAGACATAGACAGTTTGTAACATTCTTTATTTATTTAGATTATTGTCGCAATCAACAAGGACCCAGAGGCTCCCATTTTCCAGGTGGCTGACTATGGCTTGGTTGCTGATCTTTTCAAGGTAAGTGTTTGGGATTGATAGTGCTGCATTTATGTCACTTTGATCTTGCAAGCAGTGAGGCAAAGGCACCTTCTGCCAGGACTTACTTGTATGTTTTGATAGCTAAGAGTGTAGAGTGACAGTCAGAATTTAACATTTGCTTTCTCACTGATAAATTTTGCACGATCCCTTATTCTACCTAATGGAAATGTGCAACTGTTGAATTATTAAGTCGTTGAATTAATCAGAAGACAGTTGTAGCTGAGTGTGCCGTTCCGAGAGAAACACTTTAGCATCCCAAGAAAAAGTGATCCAGAGTTACTTAAAAGGTGGCTTGAGTTCTGTTTTCAGTTTCTACATGCCAGGCCTTTTACACGCTTAATTGCCATCTTGTATCTAGCTGGTACTTAGGGATAGTGAGCCAGGAGTGTTGGCACGGCTAACACTGGAGTGGAGCACCGCTTGTGAAAGGCTAGTAGGTTATATTTTCATGTGTGTCCTGTTGGTCATGTTTTATTTAGCCCCTTCAGTAGTGTATGAGCAGCCCAGGTGTCCTGACAAACTCTGTTTAAGTGATCAGTAATAATAGCTAGTGGCAGTAGAGTTGTGACCTACTGGGTGAGATCACCTTACATGTGATCACTCCTCATATAGCTGATTAAAATGGATGGGCTTTCTACTTTTCCCCCCAAACGGACAGTTGATACCTTGGACCAACTCAGGCAGTGAATGATGATTCTGTTCTGAAGTTGCTCGACTCACAAGGAGAGCCATTTGAATAATTTTCTACTCATATTTACCATAAAAGGTTTTCGAATTTGTCTTCTTTTAAACCTGTGTTACTGGGGTTATCAGCCTGTTTATTATGGGCCAGATGCCTCCCTTGTAGAATCTCGCTCTGCATTTGTCAACCTTGCAAACACTGTGATAAATGTTTGTATGCCTGCAGCCTGTCTTGATTAATCTCAGGTGAAAGTCAGTGTGTGCTCATTTATATCGTAAGCACCAGCATGCATGATGGTTTGTGTAATAAACTCATAAATCTTTTTAAATGGAATTTGCTGGGGATGGAAATGACAGGTGTTGGCGAGCATTTATCCCCACAGATAAAGCCTGGAAATGTTTCAAGCGGTCTCAGCAGTTATTAATGCAGAATAGAAATCGCTTGAAAATTTTCCAGTGCATTGAAGTTTAGTTAACAAGTGATTAATTCAAAAGTGCACTGGAGCACCTACAAACATGTAGTTAAAGTTTTCAGGACTGGAACAAACCAAACCAGTAAAGTGTTCGGTCCTGCCATAATGCCACTGAAAAATATTGTTTGAATACTATATTAAGTCTCTCTCTGCACTGTTTTCTCTTCAGGCTGTTCCTGAAATGACTGCAGCGCTGAAGTAAGGAGAAACAAAGTCCCAATAAATGTCTATCACACAGCTGGAACTTGCAGTCAGAAGACTTCAGGAACAGGAACACGTAGCCCACAGCCTTAATACATTTCTGAAGTGTTTGTGTGGAGAAATAATTTCCAACATCTTCTCTCTGACTGGAAACAGAACACTATCAATCTAGAAATAAATGCCAGTTTTTATAAATACAAGCATTAAATATCAATGAATAGGGTTGTACTTACCATGGGGGGTGGTACGTTGTGCCTCTAATAGTACTGTTTGTAATTTGTATTTAATTTTCTGGTACAGTAAAGGACATCTTTGGGAATGCCTGACTTTAGACGTGTGACTGTGGTTGACTGTAGGATGTAGCTCTTCATGCTATTTAGAGGGGGTACTTAATGAAATGCTCTTGGAAAATAATGTATTAAAATGACAACTACTAGTTTTGCCATGTTTTACCTTTATTGGATTCATTTTGCAATGCCCTCTTTCCTTAATCAAGATAGAAAATGCCTGTCAGCAGTACAATAAACAGGGTTAGTTTCAGTATTTAAGAGGCAAATCTTAAAAGGTTCATGCTATAAATTTTATCTTTTTGACATTTTATTATAGCTCCACTTCCAGTCCCTCACTTTTTCTGGCTGTGATATGATGATCAAACCCATCCTGAAATATTTACACAGCTTCCAGACATTAAAATAAGAAGGTAACATTTTAGACCTGAATGATGTCAAATCTATCATGTGCAGGTAGATCAATTCGGTACGTGAGGGACATGCTGTGGTTTGCTGAATCTCATTAAGCACTGACTCAGGTTTGAGTTTGGTCAGATTCCAGTCATGGCACCTGGATAAAAATTCTCTGAATCACTGGAATCACCCACCAGTCAAACTTTTCTGCACTCTTTTCCTCTCATAGAATTTAGATAAAAATGTTAACATGGCTAATATAGAAAGACAAAGATTAGAAAGGAGTTGAGACTGACCCAATGTACCCTGCAGCAGTCCAATCAAAGGGGACTGTTCTTTGTGAGTTTGGAGACACTAGACTATCAAAACAGCCAATACACCTGCACTTATGATAAATCCATGCCTTGTAGTTTACAGGAAGAGATTCACAGTTTGTGGCCCTCCAATACATGATCTGATCAGTCCAGTCAATTCCATAACGTGTATCAGAGGAACTTAGCCCTCAGCACCATCCCCTCACTGGTTTCCCTTCCTATAAATTAAACCAAAACTTTAACTTATCAAAAGCCACATTTTTTTTCTTTTTCTGCACAGACCAGTTGTCTGAAAATTTTGGGCTCGAGCCCTGTTGCTGGTTTCTTTTGGTAAGATTTCATAAAACTCAAAGTGTTTTTGTGAATGTCAATTCCTGATAAGTGGTGCCTGATAACAAGTCTGCCTCCTCCAGTCTTCCATGCCCTCTGTTTTTGTGCTGCTCTGCTTAGCTCATCCTGTGCAACAGTACAAAGAGGATGACAGACATAAAGTTTATGTGCCAGTGACTCCCAACCACACCAGAGTTTAGTACAGCGTTAATTTTTGCGGTTCATCTGAAGAGTGAGTCCTGTGAAGTTCCACATGTCAGGCAGGGTCTTATGTCTCTGACAGACGGTTGACTGGGCCGTCTACTGGCTCCATCATCCTGTACTTCTCCTCTAGAAGAGGCTCGTTGCCCTGCAGATGGATGAGAGGCTTTGAGTGCAGCCCAACTCTGCTCTCCTGGTTCCTCTTGTTGTAGATGTTGACCCTGTGCTCCAGCTCGGGGCTGGTTTTAGTGGAACCTGCTGGGCTGGGCGGTTTCAGGTTGACAGGGTCCAGGCCCTTCTGGGTGAGACAGGAGTCCTCGGACAGAGAGGAGAGCAGCTCCTGCACCACAGCGCTGGGACTCCCCCGTGGCTGAGTGCCCAGGGCTAGAGGGCTGCTGTAGGGTGGTGGGTAGCAGCGTTGGTCGCTGTAATCTGTGGATGTGGAGGCCTCGCGCACCGTGGAGCTGCAGTCTGTAGTGGAGCCCAGTGTGTGGCTGCTGATACTGTGCTGACGGGCGCTGAAGCTGGTGCGGGACACCGTGGTGGTGGAGGCTTCGCTGCCAGTGCGCTGCAAACGGCTGGACGTCAATGCGTCAGCACTTACCAAAGAGGAGGGAAGCTGGCTGGGGTTGTTAGGCAGGTGCACGTCTATGGCTGCTGTGGTGATGACACGTGCAGGGTCTGGGATCCCCATATCTACAAGAACAACACATAATGTACAGCGCCTTGAAATATATTGGCACTACAAGGGCTGCAGAAAAGAGTGAAGCAGGATCTTGCTAATGCTCACCACTGCTTGGCTCACTGTAGTACTGGCTGATGTAGTTGTTCATGTCATCTTGACCGTGGTGATCTGAAGAGAATTTAAAATGGCCACATAATTGTCTTAGACACAATAAAAGTGAATGAATAAAGTGTGAATTTAGATGTTAATCATACGTAGTGTAGAAAAGCTTAAGATCCAACATTAGTTTCAATGTCCAATCTGTAAACATTAACTGTTTTAATTAATTAGAATCCATGCAACCTGGTTATAGTTCGATAACAGAAAGCAGTTAAGCACTTTTAACATACTACTCCTTTAATTTAGCATGTATTTAACAAATAAATTATTACATACTGTTAAATACTGTACATTAATAAATACTTGTGTTACTACTACATTATAGTGTGTTATACCAGTTATAACATGTTTGTATACTGATAATATATTGTAAATAGGGGGACTTAAAGTAAAGTGTTACCTATAAAGCTCATGATAGGCCTACCTATATATAGGGATACAACTAATTCTTATTTAAACAATATAGTTTATTTAATCTGCAAAATGTAAAACAAAAAAAAAAGCCAAAACTGATACAGAGCCCAAGGTCTGATGTCTTCAAATTGCTTGTTTTGTCTGATCAACAGTCCAAAACCCATTCTACTAATTTTACAGTCAAAAATCTTTATAATACAGAAAGTGAAATGAGTAAATGTTTTCCATTTTCGCTTGATAAATAACTTGGCTTGCTACTTCTACCAATAGCTCAATCAATAAATTGTTTTAGCACTACCTGAATGAGCAACACATAGTGTTGATGTGGTTCACAGATCCTAAATCAGTCCAAGTGTTTTTCTTAAGTGCTATCCAAGGTCCCACAGGACTGTCAGATGGCTTATATTCATTTATGTTTGGGTCTCACATATTCATTTTATGACTGTCCCAAGAGGGGCTGCTCATTGTTCAGTCTTAACTGTGACAGGGACCATCTCCAGATGATCAATACAACATGAGTATATAAGGAGCAGCCTCAGTTAAAAGGATGTCTGACTAGAAACACCGTAGCTCAGAAGTGCGACAGATATGATTTATAGCTTTGATAAAGGAAAAGCCTCAGTGTTTTGAGCCCTGACATCACCTGCACTGACTGCGCTTTGTTGCTTTAAGCCCTATAAGTTATGACCTGTCACTGTGTGAAAGGTTTATTGTCCATCTAGGTGGGGCACCAGAATTTTGATGTGAATTGTGAGACGAATGTTTTTGAGAAGAGGACACCAACGCTGTGCCGGTGTTTGATTTAATATGCTATTAATACACTGTCCTACCTTCCAGCACGGAGCTCCAGAGCAACAGCGTTGTTTACTATTTGCAGAGGCTGCTGGTTTGGTGAAATGTTGTGCCAATTTTACAAACAAAAGGGTCTCTAAAGCAAGACTAGCCTACAAATGTTACATTCCTTTGAGACATTATAAGTATTGTGTTATTTCTGACGGATCATGCTGCTGCTTAGGATGATGAAGCATTTCTCATGTACTCTTCCTAACAACCCCAAAGACCTGAAACCTTCCAATATGAGCCAACATCTCTAACATTTCGGCCATCGCTTGCGTAGAAAGGCTCAAGTAAGTCTCTGCATTCCACCATCACCACTTTGTGTGGGCACGATGTCCCATAGGTAGCACAGCCCCCATTCCCCGTTGTGCACTGAGGTCTTTGATAGCCTGTAATACAATGTTGGGTGTTCCAGACAGTTACCTGCAGGCCCCCCGGGCTCTCTGGCTTTAGCTGGCCCGTGATGCTCGGAGACCCCAGGGGCCAGCCCGTCCACTTCCTGGAAACTGCTGCTCTGTTTACCCCACATATGGTGGATCTGCATGGCTGCTTCACGCTCTGCTACCAGATCCAGGTCCTGCTGGGCCAGGTGGGCTCTCAGCTGCCTAATTTCAAACTAAAAAGGAAAGAGGGACAAATGGGAGAGCTGGAGAAAATTCTTAAAACTTGTTGTTTTAGGATTGGCATATGCCAAACAGCACATTTCCAGTTTCCTCATTATGACCGCAGTATGACTCTCAGACATACAGAAGACACTCTCTCTTCTGGATCGACATCTGAGAAATGTACACTTATGAGGTTAGACTTAATCTTGGCGGAGTAATATGACTCAACTATCATTATTAAATTGTGAAGTAGTCAATAGATTTCTTTGAGATAATGCACAGTGCTGGCTATCTGATATGCACAGACTTCTGTAAAAGTATATCCAGTGATAAAATGAGATCAATTTTGTAAGCATCTTTTATGCCTTTTTGAGTCCAGATTTAATTAGTTTTCTTTCATGGTACTTTGCTGCCCTCTGCTGGTTACATGAAGCTATACAATGTAGTTTGTAAGTAGATATATGAGGAAATATGAGACAGAAAAGAGGACATACTGCCTGTTCTTGGCAGATCTGGGTGAGCCGGTCAAGTTGTTCCTCCCTCACCGCTTTGGCCTTCTCATACTGCTGGATCTCCATCTCCATCTCCACCTTCACTTGCAGCACATAGGCTAAAACAATAGGACATAGTCACAACATTAGGAAAACTGTTTTAATGTCAACTAAATGCTACATTGACTTCATTGATCCACCTCCCTTTTCCCCAAACATGGATCATTTAATAAATCTGTCTGTAAATATAGATGAAATGTTCTGTAAAAAGTCAACCACTGTTATGTTGAAATAAAAACCTGCATATTCTCCACATTTTCTGGCACATCAAAAATGACCTCTACCAATATACTGTACACAAGGTGGATATAATGACAGCCCTTTGTGAGGCTTCAGTCATTTTCTTTTTGAGGTTTTTGTCAGACAAGGTTCCCTTTTTAAGCTTTTTAGCCATCCGTTTAAGGTTGTGTTGTTCTGTGTTATATTTAATGGCTTAAAACAACAGCTTTTGAGCAGTTAGTGCAAAAGGTGACAATAAAGTCCAAACTTGGCTCATACTCACCAGCCATCCCTTTGAACACACTGTACTATATTTAAAAACCACAAGGGGGAGCAATGTTGTTGAAAAAAGGATTCTTCCCAATAAATAAAAGGCTCTGTATGGTATGGACATACATGATAACACAATTTGCAAGTAGCAGCTGCTGTGTGAGCTTCAAGCCAAAGGTTTATTACGACAGATGATTTCATAACATCGCTCCAGGTGGAAAATAAAGAAAAAAAGTAATTGAGCAAACAACCTCAAGATTGAATGTAGGCGATACCGCAGAGAGTACACTGCAGTATCTATCTCTGTGACCTGACAGTAAAGGACGGGACGCAAGGGACATCAGGCCCAGCCCCTCCCCGCCTCACCATCAATGATCCTCTTGACCCTCCAGATGCGCAGTGTGATGATGAGACCGATAGCGTCCCAGGGGCTGCTGGGGCCGTTGGCCACTGTGGAGGCCACCATGGGGGCCAGAGAAAGGACGATGACAGCTCCATCAAACACCTGAGAAAATACACAAACACAAACACACACACGGTTACCATTATTTCTGTAGGTTACACAGTGGTATGACATTGAGGAAATGACACTGCAGTGAAAGGGGCCCTGAGCAACAGGACTAATGGGACCCGTGGGAGCTTACCTCTACTTTGTTCTCTATGTAATCCCATATCCCCAATACCACGATCCTGAACACGGTCTGGGACAGACAGAGTGACAAGGAGACAGAGAAAGAGACATGGTAAGATGGAAGAAAACAATGACAGCCTAACAGTTGGAGGCTGGATGGTGGAAGCAGAGCACACTGGTTAGTAATTCCCAATAAGAAACCAGACAGTCCCAGTAAATCCCATTTGCAGTTGGGATTCAGAATTCTTTCATCCCTTTATTGGTAATTCATCAATGTCATCATATCACAGGCAGCGCCGTAGGATTTCATCCAAACAATTACAGACACTGCAATTATCTTCTTCTGCTGACGCGGCAGGGGGTTGCAGAGGGCAAACAACTCTCCCCTTGTCTCCTATTCTCTTCTGCCATCCCCTAGCCCCCATTCCCCATCCCCATTTCAGATATTCAAGGTTGCAGTGGAGCAGAAACCAGCCTCCCTGCTATTTCTACTCCATCAATGTATCACTGAAGGGTTGCTTTTATTGATACATAAAACTCCAGCGACACAAAAGTTAGCAGTGGGTTAGTCAAGTGGGGGAAACTAAGACAAATGTGTCCGGCTGTAAAGAAAATGGTTATCGATACAGCACACCTGCGGCCTCGAAATTATTTAAAACCAGCAGCACAGAAAAGCTCCATCTGCATTTTAAAGTGTTTGTGCTGCGAATCAATCGAATAACCCGAGAGGGACCAACTGTGCCAGCTTTAACAACAGCAGTTATACAACTTTTTTTCAGAATACTGATGTAGATCTTTGTTGTGTGATTTCGTAGTCAGTTCCGTTAAATACACCATTAATGTAGCTGTGCACAAGTTCACCTCTGCTAATCAGAATCTAATCAAGCTGTGACAGAGGGCATAGGGCGTTTCATGCTGTTGTTAGTATTCTAATGAGAATCTGTCGGTGTACTCACTGGCCCCACATACTGCACAATATAGCATTAATCGACAGGCCGCTGCATCAGCTGTAAGTGAGACTGGTTTTGTGTTGAGAGGGGGGAAGATAGAGACTCACCTCCGTGAAGAACACAGAGAGAATAGCCAGGCTAATCCAGTGGATGATGCTGGCAAACTGGAATGCATTATTAACTGTAGGGATACAAGCAGAATAACTGGTTATTGTTAAGGACAGTTTCTATGACATGAAGTGGTAAAAGATGGAAGCTTAGTAATCTTTTTTTTGTTTCTAACAGCTGTTAGAACTGGTGGTTGCAAGGTGCAGCAACGTGGTAAAAAAAGAGCACATTCATGCACACAGACATACATTAATGCACAGAAAGACGCATGAAGCAACATTTTAAACATGAATTCACCAAACACTGTACATGCATGTGTTTGTATCTTCCCGTCTATTCATCAGGCTAATTATGGACAGTCTCAAACAGCGCTCGGCTGTCAACTGAGGCATTTTTCTCCATGCACCACCTCTCCCCCCATCTGTCTTTGTTTGCCGTGTTCAGTGATCTGTCTATCAGTCCATTCATCTTCCTCCAGTCCTCCCCACACTCATCCACCAGCCAACTCTGTATTGCCTGATTTCTTTGTGCGCTAATCTCCCTTCATGCATTTGTCTTACTTTTCCTTTGTCTGTCCCATCTTGTCAGTCAGTCAGTCCCCGGGGGAACAGTAGAGACTTGTGTCATTTCCGCCGTGTGTGTTTTTCACTCAGCCCTGTCACATCAAACAGGTCATAACCCTGACCTTCCACTTATGATAAATGAGGATGTCTCCATTGTGCCAGATTATTTAAATGAAGGTGATACTGGGGTGACATAGGTCGCAGTGTTATTTTGACCACCTGACATTTTGTGTTGACTGTGGAAAACTAATGGGGGGATTATGTTCCCTGGACCATGATTGATCAGAGCCTCAGGTCCAAGGATAGATCTTCAGTGACACTGACTCATTATACAGTAGACTTCTGCACATGCTCGCATACATCTATTTGTGTTCTGTTTGTCCTGAATTATACTACAGTCAACCATCGTATTGTATCGTATCGTGATCGTATTTTACCAAGCACCTGTGGTATGGTAGGTACCACCATAGAACATTCACAAACTGCAAATTCAATGATGAAGTAACATGAACATGTAAAACACTGTGTTGAGAGATGGGACTCTCGTCATTTTATGGTCATTTTTAAAAAGCAAAATGATTTGGAAAGAACACAATGTGACATTTTGCAGCTGATAAATTTACTTCTAGGTTCTTTTTGTTGCACAAACTATGTAATAGAGACCTTTTCTAAATTACCTCAAACACAATTTTTATTATGTATTGGCCGACATATACGCCAACACTGATATATCTTGCAAAAAGCCTACATTGGTTGATATATTTGCCTGGCTAATTTATTGGTCTGCCTCTAGTGGGTATAGTATTGTACTGTATACTAGCACAGTATAGCATAGTAAGGGTGTGCTTCAGAGTTGACTTTCTATGTTGCGATCATTTGTGAATATTCTAACTGTAAATGTTATCAGTGGCTGTAATAAAATAAAGGTGGCTTTCCAGAGAAAGGAGGCGACTGCTGCTGGTTTACAGTATATTGGTAACATCTGTTACCTGTCTTATACTGCCATGTGCAGGTAAATGGTGTCTATCCTTAATTAAAAAAACACCTTCCCCTAATTATCTGTACCCACAACAGATTTTTGTCCCACTGTTAGAAAATGTTTTTCCATTTTTCTGTTTTTCTTTCTTTGCTTTATAGCTTTATGACCACTTCCATTCATCTTGCAGCTCAGTCTAACAAGATGACAAGAACATGATCTATCTGCAGCTTAGTTTTTTGGGCTAATTAAGTGAACTCACTCCTTTTTCTATGCCTCTATTGACCCAATGTCTTTTTATAACAATTCATAAAAAATTGTGCTGAGCAGGCCACTATTCTCCCTTGCTAAGAATGCGACATTAAACAATGAGTGTAACAAACCACCTTTCCAGCCACACATGAACCCACAATATCCACAAAAGCACATCTTCATTATATTCTACCACTCACACTGCAACAACTTGGTGTCTATGAGCAGCTCCAGTGTCAGCAGCACCACCACCAGAATGACACAGGCCACCAGGAAACAGTTGAAACCCGCCGACAGCAGACAGACCTGCCACAGCGCTGCCCTTCGTCCACAGCATGGCTTGAGCCAGTTCGACCTGACAGGGTGGTAGAGGGGGTGAGAGACAGAGAGGGGGAGAAAAGTCTGTTAGAGGAGCTGTATGTACAAATATAAATAGTGGGTCTTGTTGATGTGTTATCTTAAAATGTAATACTGGTACAGAGTGCAGATCTGACAGGCAGCATCCAAGGTCAGATCAGTAAAACACAAGAATTGTCAAGATTCACAAATCGTGAGGTGTATTCAACCTTGACTTTGCTCAGTCCTTCTTCTACATATATTTCTTCAGCAGAGGGCACTATTCTGCATATAAATTCAGAGCATGCATGCAGACATTAATTTACACTCTCAAATTTAATGTGAAACATAAATACATGTTCTGCTGGTGCCCAGTTGATCGATTAGGAATCCACAGTTTCATTGCTTCTTTGCCCCTTTCCTCATCTCTTCATGAAACCACTCATTCTGCAACCGTCCGCCTCCCATTAAAGCTCTCCTTTTGTGCATCATCAAGCAGTGTATTCTACTTATTTTAACAGACATTAGCATGTTTGTGCCTATTTTTGGAAACAGATTAGATGACATCTGTTGTAATCCACATTCAAGCATTAAATAATTTGTTTTTGTCTCATCAGAACACATCTATACTGTATATGTAGCACTGCCTAAAATATAAGAACATCCATAGAAGAGCTGACAATCGACTCAGTTGGTGTTTTATATTCTATATATTTGTTTAGACATATTACACATCTATAACCTTACAGTCAGTAAAGTGTGGTTGTGGAGAGATTAGAGTCTCCTGTGTTTAATTCCTCTCCCTGCTGCTTCACTGGTGACTGGCAGGGGCACATCTAGAGGGTTACCACCCCTAAAAAAAGCCTGGCCACCCCAGTTTGATTTCAAATGCTGTCAAATGTAACACATTCATTTTGATTCATTTTAAAAATAACATGTTAAATCTGTTATGGCCACATTTTAGACTAATAGCGTTTTTGAGTTAAAATATCTTAATTTGTGGGCTTTTCTTAGCAAATATTGAAATATGTGATTGTTTGTGATTAAATCAGCATATATTGTCCCCCCTTGAAGTCTGTTGTCACCCTCTCAATATTTCTCTAGCTCCTCCTCTGGTGACAGTTTTCTGGGGGAAAACTGGCTAGCTGCTCGCTGGCTGAATGCCCCTCTGGCGACTGTTTTGCTAACAACCAGGACGGTCTTGTTTGAGCTCTGGATGACTGACTGGCTTGCTGGCTGGCTGGCTGACCGCATGATGTAGCTCTCCCGCCATGACAGTGGGGCTGCATGTGCACCATCTGGAGGGTGCAGTTTGATTGCTTAACTGAATAACAATGCCTTCATCTGATTTTTCCATGACAATGTTTTAACTCTACTATCTGCGTGCCTGGCTGGTTGGTCAGACAGCATGAGAATGAAGGGATAAAGGAGAAATTAGGGTTAGTAATAAGAGACTTAATAATTCCTGATCCCAGAATCTGTGTTATACACACTGTCATTCCTAACACTGGTTTAGCTACTGCTTTATATGTCTTCCTGCACATTGCTATATATTTTTCATTATTGTCAAGTGAGCTGGTGTCCCTTGTGTGCTTGCTCCTTGACTAGTTTCATTGGTCCTGAAGATGTAAGTGTCCATCCCTACTGCCCCCTTCAAGTTCCTCCAATCAGAGAATGTGACTGACTGAGACTCCTGGGGATTTATGGTCAATAAATAATGACAAATCTCCAGGAGGCACACAGGGCTTTCCCTTCTGGTTACAGCTCTGCATTCCACACACACTAGTCAGGTGTACTAAAGGTGTAAAAAGAGAAGCGTGTGTGCGTTTGTGGGGTTGCTGTGCCTTCTCTGAGGCAACACTGAGAAAGGCAGTATGTTTCTTTGAAAATAGCCGCTATCCGTTGTCACCTGTCCCCCATAGGAGGAAAGCTACAGGCAATGTCTGTCAGAGGACAAGAGAAGATGCAATTTGTTCTACTCTCCTCTTGGTTCTGCTCAGAATGAAGGAGGCAAACACTGAGAGAGGAAGCGGGGTGCAGCTGGTTCAAAGGCATTGGGACTCATCCAAAAATGAACTGGAGAGAGTGCCAGAGAGGAAGGAGGGGGAGTTGGAGAAGGAAGTATGAGAAACAAAGAAGGAAAGAAAGAAAGAACAGAGGAAAATTCAGATGGAGTTAAAGGATTATTGCAACTTATTTTACCTTGGGTCTCATCATTCCTATTGATAATAACAGTAGAACTCACCAAATTAGTTTTTAGGATTTGTGAAAGTGACAACAAACAACAAAAGTCCATTGGGGCATGACATATGAGTGGTCATAAGTAAGCTAAACTTACTTGGTACTAGGGATGCAATCATGATTATTTTTTCAATCAATAGATGAATAGTTCAGTCTATAAATTGTCAGAAAATATAATTTCCTGAACAACAAACATCATGTTCTGATGTCTAATTTTGTCCGACACGCTGTCCCAAACCCAGATTTTCATTTCACTTTCATATAAGACAATGAAAAGCAGCAAATTCTCATACTTGGGAAAATGAAAATGGGATATGTTTGGTATCTTTTACTTGAAAAATTAATAAAAAATATCACAATTGTTGCTGACAATTACTATCAATTGAAGGATCAACTAGATTTACCTGTATATAGCAAGAAACCTAACCCAATCCAAACCCAAATTGCCATTATAAGAATACAGTTTACTGACTGACTTTCTGATGCTGTACTTACGATATGAAGGGTTATCATTGAAATTTTAGGCACGCTTAGTTCTGGTTTTACTTCCAAAATAACTTCTCTGTTGGTCTCTTGATTCTAGGCTGATTTGGCTGCTATGTCCAACGTTCCCAGATCTCAGCAATACATTTGTTTTGTACCTTGCCACAATAACAAATGTGAATCATGGCAACACTATAAAAATAACACCAAAAATGTAGTAAACTAGAGATAGAGAGGGGGTCCTAGTGAGGGGCATCATTTTGCAGTTGCAGTTGAACCTCCGGTGTAGTGCAGCTACACATTCTCTCCATCCTTCACCAAGGTCAGCAGAGAGGCTGGAGCTTGGCCACGCTGTGTCAATGCTCTCCCAGAGGCTAACCGGTGCACTCAGCCCTCTGCAGCAACCCTCTGTATCAGCCAATGCCAACAGATTAGGAGCTCAACACCTGGGGTGACAAAGAGGTGATGGAGGGTAATGGTATCATTAGCAGATACCATAGAGACTTTCCCCGGGACCGATTTGTTCCCAAGGAACAATGTCAAACCCCATCTGCCAGTGGAGGAGAGCCAAGAAAAAGAAACATTTACCTAATGATACGCCTAACACACAGTCACTGGACATTTGTGGACCATTAGTTAAAAGATGGGATGAGCAGCACACACTTGAAGAGATACCTCACTTACCTTCAGGACTGAAAAGCATGATTTAACTCATACTGTGTGGAATCATAATTCATTCAGACCTCTCCCACAAGCCAGGCAGAAAAGGTATTAATTTAATAAACCTGTAAAGAAAAACCCTGTCTGGAAGCAGAGTAAATGGCAGTGATGGATTACTCCAAGCTCTGAAACTTAATTTTAGGGAAATCACTTTAAACCTTGAACGCTGAGGACCTGAAGTATTTATGAGGAAGTGAGGCCGCTTCAGTGGTAGAGCAAGCCAAGGAAGAAAATCACCTCCCTCTCTCTCAGGGTCATGGCAGGTGCAGATCAAATGGGTAATATTGGTTGGTCATGCACGCATATGTGCACGCACAGCAAATATCACACACACTTGTTAAGAACATTGTGTGAGGAGGAAATGAGAAATGCAGGGTGGCAGGTGCTGTGGACAGGTTCATAAAGACATCAACAGGCCAGCGACTGCAGTGGTAACACACTGAGGGAAGATCGAAGTGTGACCGACTGCAGCGCAGAGTGAGGGGATTAGATCATGAGACTGATCAATAGTGGCCCAAGATGGTAGTGATGGCATGCTGTACATGACACCGGCTCCAGTGGCCGTGGCAGCAGAATGGCCACACAGGCCAGAGCGGACAAAGACATCAGGCAGAGTGACTGGCACAGAGGAAGGTGTCTGGTCGCTCTGTTGGGGGCCATTCACACAGACAAGACAGAGCTTTGGCTCCAGCCCCAACTAAGTAACTCTCGCTGTGGTGGGGAGCCTATCACAAGGAGCCTCTCTTTCATTATACTGTCTCCCGTAATTGAGACAGGATAAAATACAAGTTAAATGGAAATCTGAGAGGTGATGCCCTATATGTATGTGTGTGTGTGTGTGTGTATGTATGCATGAGTTAAGACATGGAGTGAGAGAGAAGGGAAGGGCTGCAAAGGGAAAAGTTAATTCAGAAGTAATGAGTCTGAATCAAGGTATTGATTGTAACACGCACACGCACACGCACACACACACACACACACACACACACACACAATGGACAACTACAACTGCTACAGCACTAACCTCTTTCTCAAAATGTTTGCAAAGTAAAAGCCTAAAATAGCGTTGCTCTGAACGACTTGCACTGCTGTGCAAGGCCTCTAAATAATTGATTGGAACTCTTGATTGACAATTTGATTGCACATTTGCAAAAGAGCAACTTTGCTCAGTGAAAAACTCCAGCACATTAGGGTACAGACCTGTGGCAGCTGCCACACAATTACATTTGCTTCCAAAACAATTAATCATGCTATGAGTAAAAAAAAACTCTCTACATGACCAAGACTCAGATCAACATGCCTGGTGGCCATTCATTTATTCAGGCACGCAGAATCTCTGGCAATGTTGCTTATCTACACACACACACTCATGCATGTAGATGTAGATGTCAATACGCAAACACACAAACATCTACTTCAAATTTGTTACTTTACTACAGTATGTAGGCATGTATGAAGGCATGTCTACATGTGAACCTTCATCTCAGGTTATGGTCTGCTTTTCCTTTATTGGCTTGAATAGGTGTAAGTATAAAGAATTTAACACACACATAGTTGTGAAGAAAATACATAAAA